AACACACTTTTTTTTTATCTGTTACTAAGGTTAAGCTTCTTCCAGAGTTCTATGTTGAATACTCAGGGACCAGGGAGCTATGGGGCTGGGTGGAGCATAGAGCCCCCACCAACAAGTTCACCAGGATTTTTTTAAATATTAAATTTACAAAAGTACCTATCATATTTGTGTTATAAAGCAAACACAATTTTTTCTGTTAAATGTACGTTTTTTGTGCAGAAAACTAACCGAATGGTGATAAAAATTTGATTAAGTCTCAGAACTGTTAGAAATAAATGTGTTTTTGGTGATGTCAGAATCTCAAAAATGTCAAAAACTTTCCAGTAGTGGCAGTGGGGGGAGGGGAAGGGCTTGCACCTCTAACACTAATTTGGCTTGTACTCACACAAGCTAACACCACCAATCCAAAACATGCTCCCTGGTCCCTGATATGGTCTAACCTCAAAACAGATCTGACATCGGTAATCCAACATGACATTAGTGTTTTTTTCACTCTTGTGAATAAAGATTGTTGCTGAGTTACAGTGAACCTATATGGAGTCCTTAATCTGCGTATAAAGATATTATTGTAATTGTTTCAATAATAAAATTTAATTGTAAGGGAAAATAGTTCTACACATGACCGTTTTAATGCTAAGCCATTTCCATGTTTATTGCCTCCTTCAACACAGTGGATTCAGAACTTCTTTAAGAGATTGCTCTATCCTTTAGGACCAGCATTAGGTAAGTTTTTCTTGATGTTATGGGCAAGGTTTCTCTTTCTTTTTTGACTTTTGAACGTTTTTCTAACTTTCATGTCGGCATCTTTCTTACTGTTTGATAACATGGGACGACAACCACTTGGTTGTGCACTTGTAGATTTTATGCCAGATTTCCTTCTGGAAATAGCTGTTTAACCCGCTTTGAATTGCTCGACATTGCAGAAACGTGTGTAACCTCTTGCACGTCTTCAACTTCATCTTTCTCATAGAAAAGGGGGTATGCTTCTTGGCTTGTGGCTTCCTGAGCTGAAGACTGGCTGATGGAAGCATCACTTGAATAATACTGTAAAGTAGTGTAGTAAAGTTAAAGATTTCGTGACACTTTGTACAATGAATCGTGACTTGTTAATCTTGAGTGAACAATAGATCAATTACTAGCTTGATAGGACCCGGAAATATGATCCCTATTGTGTAGGCAAGCGTGCAAAAATGTGCATCGTGTAAAGTAGATAGTTAGATGTGCCTTCCGATCGGAATAGCGTAAAAGCTACAAGCTACACCCTTTAAACTGATAGGATTTTGTGTAGGATGGAATGATTACTCAAACCTAGCCGCTCAGGATTTACGTAAGTAATGTAGGTGTAATAGTGTTTTAAGCTTTCAATCGAATTAGGGTGTTTACTAGAAAGGAAACCACATGTATTCCCTACTATATTTTCCCACGTATGATTTAGCTACCAATATGTATAAAAGTACCTTGATTTAGCAATAAACGATGAATGTGAATGTGATCAGGACTTGAGTGTGTGCAAGTCTCTTAGAATATTGATAGCCCGAAACCGGCCAGGTCTAAAGATACTCAAGCAGTAGACACTTATCTGTTGGCCACGAAATCAACTCCCGTTTACAACAATACCACTGGTCTCCTCTTTTGAAGTAACAAATGTAATGACCAGAGGAAATCTTGGTGCCTTCATGGACAATGACAGCTTTCAGTTGATATGAGACATCAGTTGCTGTGTTTCCTTTGTCTGAAGAGTTATGGTGTTCCGGAAAAAAAAAACTTTCTCCTTGTAATCTATCAAGTTGCCAAGCTTTTTTACCATCATTTAGAAATCTTACAATCTGAATGCACAATGATAGAGGTATTTAGGTATTTAGGTATTTTATTTATTTGCCAACACAATTACAATAATTACTTAAAGATGCCAAAAAAAAAAAAAAAAAAAAAAAAAAAATGTAGGAAGAGATGGCGAGGAGGCCCAAAAGAAACTATAGAGCTTATGTTAATTAGGCCTCCTCGATTACAATTTTTCGAAGATGGCATAAAAATTACGGCGACGGGTACAATGTAACATCAGGTGAATAATTAAACTAATCAATATTACGGAAGTTTACAAAGTATACTAATAATTATTACAAATAAATGCCTTAAGTGCTCTTTTAAAGGAGAAAGGTGAGGAAGCGTTGATGATGTTGGTGTTTAACAGTGATTTTCTGTAAAATTCGAACTTAGGCCTGACACGGTACCTCATCGATTTGGCTGATTTTTGGCATGTAGTCTTAGAATGGTGTCCTAAATACTGAATGCATATTCTAAGGTTCGAATTCTCGTTGGTTTCAAAGATACAGGAATGACAGTTTTGACGAGGCCTCGAGCGGCCGCCATGTTGGTGAACTGAAGGAGATTTACAGTAATTATTTCTAGCCTTATCATGAAAATAACTTAATCGTGACTCATACAGTTGCAAAGAACTATCCTTCCTCCTTTCATTTACCTACTCTTATCTGAAAATGGTTAAGCCTGAGCTACGAACGGCTATAACTTCTCATAGCACTTTTTCGGTACTTAAACGGTACACAAATTTGGTAGAAATTGGAAGGCCAATATCACCCATGCCACATCGATTTAGACTAAGCCATTTTAACTAAACATAGTTTGTTTATAGCTAAGTTAGATTTTTGAATAAAATAATTGGGCAAATGCAACGGAACAGAAATATGATTGCATGAATGCGCAGTGGTTCAGCCACTTGGCCGCTAAAACTTCAAAACAAAATTCGGTGAATATTTGAAAAGAAAATTCTTTAAAAATTGATCGTGCCTCTTAAACCCTATCTATCGCTTAAAAAACCCTCCCTTGTAATGTAAACAGATGATCTTTTGATTCTGATCTTGCGAAGAGCTTGAAATATGCGCTAAAATGAAAATTATAAATTTTGTTACACACGGTACTAGCTCAAGTTCGCTCTTCAATTCCTCAGACCAATCGGGAGCCGCTCGTGTACTGCACAGTTACAATTTTCTCTGTAGTATTTCGCTGTATACAGCTACAAATTACATATTTTCTTAGGCAAAGATAACGCAAACGTTGTCAATTTTAATCAAAAGGCTAGAAAAACCAACCTTGCACTGTAGCTTTATGCAAATTGTATGGTATTCGATAATTACACGTGTAAACAGGAACCTACCTTTGCTAATGTACACTGTTTGGCAGATCTTTCCTGCGTAAGATATAAAACTAGTACATGAAATGAAATTATAGAACTCATCAAGTCAAATTACCTGATCGTACCGTCATTACTGAATAATAAGTCCGCAAAATATGACATGGAATGATCGGTGGGAGACGAAGCTATTTTTAGGAGGACAAGGAACTGCACGCTGGAACGGAACTGAAATGAACAACCTCAATCAAGTTCAGTCTTCTTGACGTTATTAAACGTTTCACCCGAATTTGAACAGGAAGTTGTTTTCTATTTTCTTTCTCATTCTTGCATGTATTCTGCAGTTCGCCCACTATTTTTTCGTAACTTTTAATTTTCTAGCTAACTGGAACTGTTAAGAACTACCAACCCCCCTCCCCCCTCCCCCTCTTTGAGTGAACTTTCATTCGGTCTGATTCACAATAATTTTCGAACGGTGACAAAGTGATATTTGAAATGACATTTTATTTAGTATTTTTAAAAGCTCCTTTTTTTCCCGATAGCCAGGAATGTTTTGAACGTAAAGGCTCAAGTGGCGGTGTTTTTCACGACTCTGCTTGTAGACTGACCTCACCACCAGTACCACGGACATAAAATCTGATCGGAGAAGGTCATACAGTAACTGATGGGTCTCTGAAAAGCGAAATGCAGTCACTTGGGGCGAGTAGGCTATATAGATGATGAACTCATTGTTTATAACCCCATAACCGTATCCCAAAAGTCGAGCCAGCCCGGGGCGAGCGAACACAATTTTGGGGCCACTGGCCACGCCCTTATGTTTAGCGGGAAATTGGTTGATTAGTCAAATCTCCTTAACTCCACGACCATGCACCTTTCCAAATATAGCCCTTCTTATCATCATATAGTTAGGGCCTCCCGTAAGCATTTGCAACTATTTTGATTTGTAGAAGACTGTTTAACAGTTTTCATTACTTTAATGTCTCGTAAACAACACGAGATGCATGTTCTGATCTCTCCCCCCATCCATAACAAAAAATTTTCAGACCAACACTGAATTGCATGAAGGTATGTACAAAAATATGGCCATCTCGAGGCAAGGTTCATCACTGTAACTTACCACATAAAAGCCTTTTTGTTGTTTGCCATCGACTGATTCTGTTCTGAATACTAAGGTCCCATAAACAACGCCACGTTTAGAAAGAGCCCGCCCTTTTCAATCCAAGAAAACCCAAGTAGCGATTTCACCAACGGACATAAGCCGTAAGAAAAGGACCGCGTCAAATAGTTCATGAAATCACAAACGCCTCATGACACCTTTAATTTACTCTTTCTTCGATAAACTAATTTTTAATTTTTTAAGCATAAATGACATCAGAATGCGTGATTATGAGCATTGTAGCTTATGAAAAGAAAATTTAACACCTGATGCACATGAAAGCGTCTAAAAAGGGGACTAGGGGGAATTAGGAACATTGTGCTTACCGCTGGAAAAATATTGGCTAGTTCTTTGGATAGACTCAATTAAAGCCGTTTTTGTTCAGTAAGGAGCTGTTAGATGGGGGGAAAGCTACATATAGTAGATCGCATCAGAATACGGCATAGGACTAGGCTCTCAAAATCGATAAGCTGAATTCAAGACCAGTTATTATGTAAAACAGAGAAAAATTCCTTGAGGGAAAAAAATTATGGCTAGGGAAAAGACCCGAAGGTGGAAAGTTAGGATGGTAGCTTCTTTTCAGGTAATCGATCATTTACGTTAACTTCTGCTATCCGACGGGCATATCGGAAAGACTGAATGGATGAGAGTATAACACATTCAAGAAGAAACAAATTTGTGATTTTGCACAACTCAATAAAATAACTAAAATTGTGTACTACTCGGTTATACAAGATTTTTGTTTTCAATTTCAGATTTTTACGATGGGGCATTAGCCCCTGTACTCACTAGACACTACTTTACAATCATCGTGTTAAAATCAGTGAAATACTCCAAAACAATTTGGATTCCTACCCCTATACCTTTATTAAAAATTAAAGTTGGGAAGTTTGTTGTTTTCTAAAAGTAGTTTGAACAGCCGAACGACATTTTTTTACACGGAGTGGGGAAGGCAAAGCTTCACTGATCTCTTCTAAGGTAGAAAGTATCAGCAAAACGTGAGAGTCGTCCTTGAGGGTAAAGTGTCTAACCTAATTTTCTCACCGATTGCAAGTGCCATTTCATCCACGCATAACCTCACCTAGTTAACAGAATTAGCAAATGTAGTGGGGAAACGTTGCGAGAGAACTGAGTAAGATGTTAGGGTAAGTTTTGGAAATTTTCCGCACACCTGGAAAGTCCTGGCTACGCTCCTGATAGAGACTTTTGCTGGAGAGAAATTGAAACATGTTCGCTACTATAGTGACGACCAGAAAGGACAAGCCATAGGATAGTTCCAGAAAACCACCCATTAAAATAGATCACGAAGTTGTCGCGGCGGAGGATGAACTTGAAGGCATCTGATGAATTGCAATTTTTCAAGGGAGCCCAGACAAGATTATGTACGATGGGCACAGCTTGTTTGATCTGGAAAATTTAGAGAAGCCCAAGGCAAATCGCTAGACAACACATGCTAGAGCTGAACTAAAAATCTTTTGCGCCTTTGAACTCTGTCCCTAAGGGTAAAGGAGAAAGTTTCCCTTTATCAATGCATTAACCGAGTTGATTATGAATGTCTCCTTATGTTGGACGTCTTACTAACAAGCACATTACCACTACTTGCCCTCAGAGGCGTTTTTCATTTGACGAGCAGAGAAAATTAGGTTTTTTGACTGTTTGAAATTCTGGATGCCAGAGTGAAGACGCCTTTTGTATGATGACGTCATCGTCCTACAGTAAAAAGCGTTCGTTTTTTACCACTGATATTACGTCAATCGGTACACTTATGTTGTCGAAAGGTCCGTGAGCATGGTAAATGATTTTACCTTAAACTGCAGACACATCTTCAATCACTCCTTACTGTTCGCGATATCGGATAAACACTCTGGTCTCTAACTGAATTTTCTTTGCTGTTTACTTTATTTTGAATAAGGACTGTCTTGAGTTGTCCATGCATTGTCTAGCGATTTTAAGCTTTTTCAAGGAAACAAAAATCTGGAATTGTCCCTAGGGTGAAGCATTTGCGCACAGTTTTAAAGCCCTTCGGTGGGGTGACTGTGGTTTTTGCTGTCCCGGGCTCATCCCTCATTCTTCTTAACCCCTTCCAAACCAATTTTTCTGTTTATCAAGAATCTCCTCAAAACGGGCTTCGTGATTGAGACAAAATACCGGAAAATTGTACACGGAACCGTTGTTAATTGTGTACAAGGTAGAATGAGTCTATTCATTACTTTGCCAACGACCAATTTTTAAAACCGGATGTAATGATGTTTATTTCAAGGGCTCATGTCTCATGAGTTTTGAGTAAATCTTCCAACGCTGTAAACACATGTAGCTGGAACTATCATCGCATCGATCCTCGCTCACTAATAATGATAACTTATATCAACTTCCATTATTTATTGCCTGGCTAAGATTTTCACGGATTCTTCAGTTCAGTTGTTTGAAACCAGGCGGTTTCAAGTGAGTTGTAACGCCAGGCAAGGAACCTGACGACCCGCGATATGCGTGGGAAAATATTACTTTTTTTCGATCAAGGTGGAAACTGGCAACTTTGTCGTCGAGTAAGGTAATACATCTCAATTTTCATTACTATGGTTAATTTTAAAAGCTCTGGTTTTGGTAAGGGAACTGGAGGAAAATCAGGAAAATTCCAGTTCGACTGTGATGGTTCAATTTTGTTTACGCGTCATAGCATAAACATAACAAATTCATTTTCCTTTTCCTTATACAATCTGCCTTTTTTTATACTGTTTTTCGCAGCAGAGTTATCGATTATATTACAGAGGCTAATTTTATTACACAGATCACTCAGATTTAATGACAGAAACTCTATTATCGATTGTAATTTTGGCAACACCTGGCGAGTATTCGGTGTACAGATTATTGACAAAGTCGCTAGAACAGTCTTCTATTCATTACTTTTGTTTCTGCTCCGTTAAATTTGCCCAATTTTTTTATTAATGAACTCGATTTAACTACAAACAGTGAGTATTCAGGAAGATTGGCAAGCTTCAATGCGATGTGGCAAAAGAGATATACGCCTTTAAAATTCTGTTAATTTTGCGGGTGTAAAAAATTCAAAAAGTATACCCACCAAAAGTTTAATTGATCGTTGCGAAAACTTTATCAATTTCGAAGTAGTTTCTAAAAATACAATAAAGAGGGATTGTTCTTTCAATCTTTATTGGCAAAGGAAGATTAGCTTTGAAGACAGGGTTGTAGTCGAAGGCTCAAGAGCAGCTTCTATTAACCAATATGGCGCCGGTCCGAGGCACCCAAAAACCGGCCATGTCGATAATTTCCGAAGTAGGAGGAATTAGAACCTAAAATTACCTATTCCTTATTAAAGACCTCAAATCAAGTCTACATGCCAATTTTTAGCCAATTCGGTGACATAGTGTGGCAGCGCCTTTTTAATATAGCTCGAATCTTACAGACAGCTGTTCTTAAGGTGTTGTAAAATTTAGGTCCTTGATAAAAAACGGAAAATTGCTTGGTTCGAGTACGACAGAAAGGCAGAAGAAATTTACACGAGTTTCTTGTATTATACGAATGAATTTGACTTTGTAAGGTAAATTTACAATGAAATTTTAAAGGTAGAGTATTGTTTTGATAGGAGTACATGAATAAGGCTAGTTGTATTAAGTATATATCATGAAATTTTAAGATACCAAGATTTTGAAAGATTGGATCAGTATGTGCATCGAAAGTGGTTTTAGCTATAGTTCTGATCACTCGTTTCTGTAAAATCTCAAGACGAATAAGGTTAGTTCTGTAAGTAGAGGCCCAAACTAAGTTGCAGTAAAAAAGGTATGGATAGACTAGAGAAAAATATAGTGTTCGTAAGGTTTTCGTGGATAAATAGAAACTGGATTTACCAATTAATAATTCCTGTACATTTAGAAACTTTATTGGCGACATGTGAGATTTCAGATTTCCAATTTAAATTTTCATCCATGATTACTCCCAGGAAAACTGTTTCTTTTACTTGATCAATTTTTTGACTATTAATTAAAAGTTGAATAGTTTGATCTGTACGCTTTTGGGATGGTTTAAATGCAATGAATTTGGTTTTTTTCAAGTTTAATGAAAGCCTGTTAGCTCTAAACCATATTGACAACTTATTTAGTTCAGCGTTCAGTATATTAGTAAGGCAGTCTTTATCCTTGTGAGACACAAATACGTTTGTATCATCGGCAAATAATATCAGTTGTAATATTGTTGACGTGTTGATTATATCGTTGATGTAGAGCAGAAAAAACAAAGGCCCTAGTATTGAACCTTGGCGAACGCCACACATGATATTAGCACGATACGAAACATAACCATTGTATTCTACAAATTGAAGTCTGTTGGAAAAATAGCTCTTAATCCATTTCAGAGCCAAGCCACGTATACCATAGCGTTCAAGTTTATCAAATAAGATGGAATGATTGACTGTATCGAAAGCTTTCGAGAGATCTAAGAAGACACCAACCGCTAATTCACCACGATCAATAGCAGAAAAAACTTTTTCATGCAAATCAATCAAGGCAAGCGTCGTAGAGTGGTTTTTCCTGAAGCCGAACTGGTTATCACAGAGAATATGTAAATTAGTTAAATAATCATACAAACGATTATAGATGATTCTCTCTAGAAATTTTGAAAAGCTTGGTAGAACCGAGACAGGCCTATAGTTGGTGAATAGTGACTGGTCATCAGCTTTAAACAGTGGTACCACACGAGCTATTTTCATTTGATCTGGTACAACGCCATGAGCGATCGATAAATTCATAATGTGAGCCAGAGGTCCCGAAATGATTTGAATGGATTCCTTAATTATAGACATTGGAATATTATCGTATCCAGCCGCTTTCCAGGAAGCAAAAGATTGAGCACTGCTCTGACCACTGCTCTGGCGTCAAAAAGGATCACATGGTATTTAAATGGGGTTCCTAAGTTACATTTTCCTGTTGTCAGGTTTGTGTCAACATTCGACATTCAACTTTTTTAATTTAAATAATTATTATATTTTGTTGAAGTAGCAAAATCATGATCAATGACTTTTATTGTGGTCTGCCTGGTACTAATTTTTTTGTGTACTTAGGTATGTTTTTTTGGGACTGTCTTCAGACGTGTAAAATGAAAAAAGTTATAATTATTCATAACATTTACTCATACCTCTGTGATATGTAGTGGGAGAATAGTTTCCATTGTAGTGGCAGAAGTGACACTGCTACATGATGAACACATTACTTCACTCCTCAGTTCAAACAAAAAGGATCGCAGAAAGGCAAGGTTGCAGTTTGCAGGAATTAAATTTTGACTCTTGTACCGGTTTGCAGTGTGTCCAAGTACCCTGCAAAATTCTTGAAAGAACTCTGCTGCACACTGTTGCTGGTCCTTTTGAATTAGGCTACTAACTTATGGTAGAAAAGCGTTTCTATCAATACCTGGCCAGGAACACGACTAATAATAAATGTTGAGTTTCACTTGTGCTCTAATGAAAACTTTTTATTATTTTCAAAACAAAGCAATAACACAGGTCAATGATTCAAAAGGACAAGTGAATTAAGATTATCAAATAATAATACTCCACTTTTACTACTTGTTCATTTTGCGGCCCGAAAAAATATTGGAATGTTTTATTGTTACTTTCTTCCTTTTTCATTTCTTGTTTCCAGCTTTATTATAAGCTTAATTATTATAAGGCTTATTATAAATAAATATATATAATTAGGTGGTGGTTGTGCGAGGTGTCAAGTTTTCAAATGAAGTATTTTAGCATGAGTTTATGCAAATTGTGTTCGCACGGTAAGCTATTTAAAGCTGTAAGTGGGTTACAATACTGTCGAATATATGCGTAATTCAACAATTGGCTGGCCACCTCGATGTTTTTTGTTCTCTTACGAGTTAAACGACAATGAAGGTTTCCAATACCTGTTCTCGATGAGGTGCACTTCTTGCGATTGCACTTCACGCCAGCGAGTCCATCTACAAAACATGTCACTGACAGGAGACCTTGAAGGACGCTATTCAAAAAGCGAGTATTCCCCGAGGTTAGAAATTCCCTTTGGATTCATTTCGGAAGCGACTGCTGTCAGAATTAAGAATTTTAAGTCGAAGAAGAAAGAGTAACGCAAAGACAGGAGGTTCGTGTACACACACAGCGACCTTCGATGAGATAATTTCTTTCCCGCGTAAAAAACCAAAAAGTAAATAGATAACTTTCCCGCGAAAGTTTAAAAAAATTCCTTACCCTGTACCCCTGCTTTCACACTTCTAACCGTCAGGGGATCTGGGCGCAGGCCGTCTAACCCATCAGGAGGTTTGGTTGCTGATTTCAGCCTGGTTCCCAAGAAAGTGATCCCAAAAAATTTTTTTGCTATAGGGCACCCCGAGTGACGACACAGGTCACCTGACTCCCCCCTATTGGGACCTCTCACCTTCTGATTGGGTCTTTCTTTTTCTATGTAAGGCACTTTTCCCTTGCAATAACCCTCTGTCACCTCACGTTTGAGCACAATACTTTTTTTGACAGCAATACTTTTTGTGAACAATACTACAATACTCTTGGACAATACTTTTTAGAACACTACTCTTTGACAACAATACGTTTTTAGAACACTACTGTTTAGACAAGTACTCTGAATAGCGTTAAACGTTCCCATTCTTTGCTAGACATTCCAGAATGTGTCCCGCAGGACGTAGATGAAACCCGTCGATGAGCGCAACTTGTGCTCCGATTGGCCGAGAACCTCTTGATGTGGGACGTCACCCCTAGGCAAGAGTATAGAGACCCTGCTGCCAATGAACCCTTACAAACGCTGCCCATTCCAGTGCTTCATCCTTGCCGTGTTAGGAATCTCCGAGCTATCCGTCTTGCTACACCCTCGAGGCAAGCTACCCCCTCAACTCGCCCTTTAAAACGATGCATGCTGCCTACTCTACGACCCCCGTGGAACCACTTCCGGAGATCGTCCCCCACGGATCGACTCTCTACCCTATCGGCGATATCTAAAGAAGAAAAAAGATGGAGCAAGGACCTCTGAATAACGCGCAGTTGGACTATTTGGCGCGACACGATCCCGTGTTAAGGCCTGTTTTCCAAGGCGTGTTTGCCAGTAATCAATTATCCAACAACCCCATCACCACCAAACCTGCAGCGTACCTTGTCAACCAGGATCCTGCCGGTCCACCAGGACACCATTGGCTCGCCCTCTGGACGACGCACGATCAACATTGCGAACTCTTCGACAGTTACGGCCTCCCCTTGAAGACCTAACAAGTCCCTCTTCTCGAGCAATGGGTGCACGACCATTGGAAATATGTCACGACCAACGGAAGAGCGTTGCAAGCGTACACTAGTCAAACCTGTGGGCATGATACGTTCTTTTTTTTTAAGAATGAGAGCTCGCGGTCATTCCCTGATGGATTTTCTCCAAGACTTTTCACCCACGGATCTCTAGGGTAGGCAAGGCGAAGCAGCCAAAGCCTAACCCCAAGGTTAAAGGCACCTGGACAGAACGACTTATATATTACTTGTTTTCTGCTTTATTAGGTCTTCGCAAGGGTCTTTAGCAGTTTCTGTCATTTTGGGTATGATTTGCTTGAATTGCTTACAAAAGTTAATGAGCTGTTGATGAATGAAGCAAATACACTGAGAGCTAAATTGTTTCTAGGTGAGAAACTATTATTAAGGGGCGCTGAGGTTAATAATGAGCGTTCAAAAATCTGGAGATGTTTTTCCTGGGACGCGTTTTCATATGAAGCTGTCGACTGACCGAGAAAGAGCGTGTACACAACACACAATTAACCACTACAAAACGAGACAAGCGGAGGCGCATACTAGGTATCAACTGTATAGTGCACGTGAAAAGCATACTTCCTAAATTTAAAAATGCTTTTTTGCTGAGGTAGTTTGACTTGCGGATTGAAATGCTACTCACTTTCATACCAAACGATGTTTTCTTCTCGTTCCAATTTCCAATTTTATGATCTCATCTCCCTTTTCCAGACCTTGAACACTAGATTACGATTGATAATTAGAGAAAAACGGAGAAGTAACGTTGTTCTAAATTCCATATTTCCGAAGTTAGGTTCCACTTTGGGCCCTACCCAAGAAACAGCGTCTGTCATTCTTGGTAAGTTAATAACATATTTAGGGCACAAGAAGAAAATCGTTATAATTGAATATTAGTAACTAAGGTCTTCTCCACAAGTATCAGCCTTCTCTCTACACGAAACCATTGAGTCCGCTCACCGAAACCGCATCTTTTTGGAACTACTCTCCAGAGTGGTTTTAGGCCCCATCCACAACAAAACAGAAAATGCCTTAGTTAGAGCGATTTTCCTATGACATAGAAATGAAAACGCGCGAACAAAACAGAAACAAAAAACGAATGGAAATAGAGCGATTTGATTGATCTATCGAACGGATACAAACGCGCGTGGCTTTTAGTTGGTTAAGCGAACGCTCGGGTGAAAAAACTTCATGCACGAGAACTTTCTAGAAATCAACCGATATTTCGCTTTGACGTCATACTGCAACACGATTGGCCAATCGAACGATACCTTCTCCATATTAGGATTTTCTCTTGGCGGGAAAACGAAGAGGTCATGTTTTGATCTTTTCATCCACTGTCTGATAAAACAAATAAAGAACATTTACCGAAACCATTTTTCAAGGTCATACGAAAATCGCTATATCGGTTTCAAACGTTTTACTTAGCTGATCCCAAATCGTAGGCCAGTCCTCATGAATTAAGGTAAATGAATGCGTGAGTGGTTTCAAAAATTCCGGATTCGTGTCATGATCAGGGACGTAGCCTGGCATGCGTCACAGACGAAACTAAACTCTGGTTAATTCCGTCTGCGAAACAGCGCACCAGGATTTGAGTACGCTCCATGATTGGCCTGTTAAAAATGTCATTGTCGATTTGCCAATCAAGATGAAAGAAAACTAGAAATAGACTTCCGGTAATTCGTTGCATGAGTCTGTTTGTGGGCACAGAACAAGGATTAGGCGCTGCTTCGCAGACGTTACAAACCGAGGTTAATTAGGGACCTTATGATCCGACGACGGCGACGGCAACGAGAACTTCAAAAAAGCAATAGGTTTGATTAGCAAAACAACAATTTTGCACGTGCATCACGCTTTTTTGTACATTTCTTTGCCGTCACTGCACGACTACGACCTGAAAATGCCTAATTTCACGTTTTACAGAGGAAGTACACAAGCAAAAACGAAATTTCCTGTCTCTTCCTGAACCTGGATATGGGCCTTAGGGATTTAACTTAGGAGAGTTCACCTACATTTGACGAAGTTAGTGACTTGGAGTAATCGCGATGACGATTGGAAGAACGCGAATTCACTTTTTCAGCGACGTTTTCTCTGCCGTCGTCGCCGTCCTCGGATTTTAAGGTCCCTATTATGTCTGCCACGCAGGCTTAATGGATGGGGCCTAAGATTTCTTGATCAGTCAAATAATTATAATGTTTAGAAAAACTCAGGCATTTTCTGTTACTTAACTTAGTTCTTAAAAAGCCTGAGCGTCAGCTACGCGCCGTGTTAATGAAATCTAAAAAGTTAGCCCTCAATGTCAAATTTACTTACAGCATAAAGGATGCGCGTGGGGCGCTTGTAATGCATTGATTCCAAGCTGACCTGCACTTTATTCAATTCTCAAGGTCCATCTCAGTTGAACCGCTATGAAATCAACCGAACTCCCCATGGATACTGCATTATAATAAACAACCTTAAGTTTGAAGACACAAACGTGCCTGACCGCCATGGAGCAAGTAAACAGACAGCCTCAAGTAGTTGTTCACTGATTTCAGATTCAAAGTAGTAATCGAAAGAGATTTGGATAAGCACGAGATCGAAAAAGTGGCTGAGAAGTTTGCGGAGAAAGATCACTGCGAGTTTGGTGCGTTTGTTTTCATTCTCATGTCGCATGGTGGAAACCGAGATTGCATTCTGGGGGTACGGGGAAGGAGAAACTCCGTCGAAAATCTAATGGTAGAGTTCCAAGATAGATAGATAGATAGATACTTTATTATAAACACTATTGCAGCCATAGGCTGAATTACGCGATATTTACAAATACTGGTGATAACAAAGAAAAAATAAGAAAACTATCTACATCTTATAGACATGGCTAAAAATAAAACTTTTCTTCAAACGCTCGGTTTTACATAGGGGGAGAGTGAAATCACTTTTGCGCCTCAGTGCCTATTTACAACTCTTCCTTTGGGGGAGGAGGCTATGGAGACTGTGGGTGGGGTTACAGACGATCTCGTCAAACAGATCGATTGTAATCTTTTCTCTCCTCTCATGAAGTTTCGGTAGGCCAACTGTTTCTAGTGCTACACTATATGACAGGTCAGGATAGATGATTCTGAAAGACCTTCTTTGGATCCGTTCCAAATCCTCACTGACGTAGTTTGGTAGAGAACGATGGAGTACAGGACTTGCGTATTCCAGGACGGGCCTAATACATGTCACATAGAATTGCAAGCAAGGAATTGCCCCTCACTAAAAGGAAAACCAAGGGTTTTTATCATCCAGACCTGCAGAGGCCTTCTTGATTATGCAAATGAAACATTCCAATCTCCAGTTGGGAGTATTCAGTCACAGGATGTGCTATCTATGTCATCATCGTCAGATGCCCAGTCTACTGGACGTCCTTTTACAGCAGATGCCACTCTTTCAAGAAGTGTGTTTCCGACGGAAGCTGACTTTCTGTTAGCGTTTGCTACCGTGCCAGGTTTTGTGTCCTACCGGTTCACGGAGTTTGGTACTATGTTTATACAGGTACGTATGAGTACCAGGTTATTCCTGTCGCTGTGACTCTACATTGATTTAGTGATACGGAGGATTAGGATGAAATTTTGTGTAGCCTCTTGCACTGTCATAACTGGGGTGAGAAAAATAGTGAGATGTCGTTCAGGGTGTTTATAACTAAAATGTTATTACTAAGGAAAGAAAGACAGGAAATTTCAATATCTTTTTAATAGTTAAGTAGCCTTTTATATTAAGTCTGTGAAATAGAAAAATAAGTGCTTTTACTTGTTTTAGATAATTAATATTTTTTTAAAACGTTAAAATTTTAAAAAAGACTCTAGTCAGTTTTTAAATACTATTTTTACTTGTTTTTAATTGTGTATATTAATGTTATTTTTTTTTTATAATGACAGTGTAAAATTATTTTACTATTTGATTTTATGTTTTATAGAGGGCCACAAGTTTATCAGTTTTATCTTAACTGTCACATGTTTACCCTCTTTAAATGAAGGCTTTACCTTACCTTACCTTAACTTACGATGTAGCAGGGAATGAATTGACTCCCTGGGGAGTTCTCCCTATAATGGGCCATATGTTAAGGCTTCGTTCGAAACGTTGGTTAAAGTATATTAAATTTTAAGGAAATCTGTCGTTTCGGTCTGTAAAAGGACCTAAAAGGACTAACGGCATTTTATGGCTGTGACAAAGGGAAGAAACTTCCTGGCTTAGTGATTTGTTCAAAAGGCGGTGTATTTGTAAACTAGGTCGAAGACTGGGTTATATTGGCATTTGTCATCCCGACGCTGTTATTAAACTGAGAAAAAAAAAATTTTCTTGCTTCAAACCAGGCTCTAGTCGAAGTTATCAGAGAACATCACCACCATCATCATTTTCTGGATATTTTAACGGAAGTTACCAAACGGGTGGTTGAGAGACAGAACAGAGAACACAACATCGAGTGCCCTGTCCAAGTTCCAGCACCCATGCACATACTCACCAAGCATCTGTATTTGTGAGAAGACTGGGTCAAGGTATTGACAACAAAGAGAAAATTGAGCGCTAGGAAATCATCTCTCTAAGAGCCCAAAGACACTTTGCAAGACAACGTTAAGTTAAGCCAGATTATTTTCCCTTGTCTGTCATATAGGGACGTTTTGTGAACCACCAACCTTAGTTTTTTTTTTCGAAAACTTTAGTTGCCTTGCAGATCGCCGAAGTGCTATATCAGCAAGGCTGTTCGCCGAAATAATTAGCAATCAAGATCACAGGCTACGACATCTTTTACTTCCGCCAAATACGTGTGCTGAACATCCCCGGAGTGCTTTTAAGTTTCGATTGCCTATATAAGAAACGAACAGAATGAAGAGTTGTAACATGTAGTCATTGTTAGGTCTTGAAGCGAAGACCTCATATTTTGCTTTGAGATCTCCAGTGAAAAGTGCTAGCAATAAGAAACAAGAAACATTCAAAAGGATATGCCCCAGTAAGACATCAGCACAGTTAAATTTCTCATTGTGCCAGAAAAAAGCATGTTTGGTGTTTTGCCAAGGCTACCAACAACCTAAATGAAAACAAACTAAAGTCACTTTTGTTGTAATTAGTTTGAAAACAATGAAATACGAGGCTGATTGGACATAGACAGCTAAAACAGATTTCTTTATTACCCCAGCAATTCCTTGAGGGTTGACTTCACTGTTTTAAGTTAGTTGCATGTCTCGTTTCATTCTTTCATGTTTATCCAAGATCGGTTGTAACGTGTTACTGTTTGTCCATTTTGGCGAACCTGGCACAATTAAAAAGGTTCATTCGCACTTTTTGGTAGGGTTACCAGTTCACCCCTTACGTAGACTTGAAACACTTAGGTAAACTGTTTAAACTTTGAACATTCCATGGCTCAGTTGCATCACTCATTCACTTGCCCGACTACAGACTGCCATCAAGGCGGACTTATGTTGTCATGTACATATCATATTTTTGCTTTAAAATTTGTCATATAATTAAAATATCATATGCAGTATTATAAACATAAAAAAGGAGTCTTAACTTGTAAATAGGTAAGTGGTAGCATATGTGTGTATTTAAAATTGACATCCGTTTGGTGGAAAACTTCGACCAGGAAAACAGAACTACTGTCTGTTCAGACCTTCCCTTTAAGTTACTTCTAAAGTTTTTCACTGTAACAACTAGAAAGTTGGGTTTTCTTTCATTCTAGCCGGATTTTTCGGAAACATTTGTAAATGGTAAACAAACCATGCCTGCCGGCTGTGCAGACACCAATCAGAGCATAGGATCCGGCCAAGCTCGATGCACTAATCAACGCTTGTATGTTTTAATACTGATTGCATATTATTGTATAGACTTTGTATGAGGAAGATATACCTGTCAATATACTTGTCTCTTTGGTTTTTATTTGCCTAAATAATGCGAAGCAAGGCTGGTAACGGTGCGCAACCTCAACATCCCAAAACAACGCGCCGATTCGCCATAATAGCACTAAATTCCTCAGGCAAGCTATGTCTCTCAACGTTTCCGCTCGCGGCTCGATTTCAAATGATATGTCTTTGCGTGGGATAAGTTGTTGGTGGGGAAAATGTGTTAAATTACGCGCGTTATCGAGGTTGTAAAATCTGAACAGGTTACTAAAAAAATGCGCTCTCTTGGCTTCCACTGGCTATTGCGTGTACACATTGTGGCATCTAACCCTTGACTGCCTTCCGTATCAGAGTTAAGAAGTCACAGTGCTAGTTCTATGGTATGGATGACAATTTAGTGTCACTCTTACAAAAGTCATAAGTCTTAATCATACCGATAGCAACGATATTAAGGTGGACGATGTCTTCTCCATCTGAACGGGTGCGTCTGCCGGAGTGCCACAGTTGTCCTTACTTAGACCTCTACTGTTCAACAACTTCATAAACGAAATTTCCCTGGTCTCGATGGTGGATATGTTGTTCGCAAAAATGTAGGAAGTTTTCACTTTGGAATCGCAGTGTGGACGACTTATTTATCACACCCTGGTCCCATGATAATAAGTATGTGTAATCAAATGGTGACGAGTGAAATTAGGGAATAATTTCACGCGCGTTTTGTCCAATTCCTTATAATTTCCCGAGCCTTTAGGCGTTACCTATTAATATCATGGGTGACGAATTACGTAGCAATCTTGGATTTTTGACATGTCTATCCTGGATCGTATCGATCGAGAACTCCTGCACTCTCTCGAACGTTTAGAGCTTAAATTTGGCTTAAGTTCAGAGTTTTTCGACAAAATTCCTGTTAGAATCCTTCTTGATGTGCTCTTTCGTGCGTTCAGGTTTTCTAAAACATCTTTTTGTGCCCTGACATCTTCATTCATGACATTTTAAAACTTCGTCGCCATCTTGACACTGAGACGTACAGAAGGTTGCCATGGCAATTTGGTAATTTCACATGTGAAATTACAAATTAACGCTGAAATTTCGCGCCAAAATTAAGGAGTAATTCGTCACCTATGATATTACATGGCTAACACTCTGTCTGCGTATCATTATTTTTCGACCAAATAGGCTGATAGCCAATCTATCATCGTACCAAGTCACTGAGCCCACATGTCGAATATATAATGGGTCGATCAGTAATCTATGAGTATCTGGATATCAGAATCTGTGGTCAAACCTTTAAGTGAGGTCGGGTCGACTAAGTCATTTTTCAAGGACCGTTTTTGAAATCTATTCCTAGACTATGTACCGTTCCGTGAATCAAAATTCTTAACGCGTCGGTATCCTTTATTGCCAAATTAAAAACCTATTTACTATTTATGATAATCTTCCAAGGTGTAACCCCTCAGGCGCTGATTCAATTGACCACTCCAGAAAATACCATAACATACCATAATGCTCTATTTCTTTCCCACAAATACCATAACCTACCATAATGCTCTATGTATGTCACCCCCAAATTTTGCATAATCATTGTCTTCAGTTTCTCTTGGGAGTTAAAATGGCCCCAAGAGAAACCGAAAACAATGCTTATACAAAATTTTGGGTCACAAACAAAGAGTATTATGGTATGTTATGGCATTTACTGCATATAGTGGTCAATTCTGGCAACATGGTTTAGTATTAAAGTTAGAGTTATTGCCACGCATTCTGTCTTTGCAAATCAGTTTTTCTACGACTTTGAGGGCGCCTCACAATAATGGCCCAATTTATGCTAGCGACAAATTCGCTTCAAGATGAATTATTATCCATTCATAATATTTCGCCGTTTCTGACTGGCAAAAAGCCCAGGCTAATTCTTCATAACCAACTGGCGTTGACCAAATTTGGAAGATGCGAGCAATAGACCTATTCGGCTAACTCAATGTTGTACCCAATTCAAATCTCCCTGGGTTAAGATTCTTTGTGTATTGTATTTGCACTATAAAATGGCACTCACATATAAATGATATGGAAATAGCTAAAACAAAACGTTGTATTCCCATAGGGTTTGAACTGGACACAACATTGAGTTAAAAAAGGGCCTGTTTACATAGAGTGGGGGACCCCGGTCTAGTGGGGTTGGTTTCTTTTGTTTTCACGCTCTGGGGGGCACAAAACAAAAGAAACTTACCCCACTAGACCGGGGTCCCCTACTCCATGTAAACAGGGTCTTAGCCGAATAGGTCTTTATACTATCAATTCGATGGTATATTGACTTGGAAAGGAGGTTGATCAATGTCATATTGATTTGGAAAGCAGGTGGCATGGGCAAAAGACCATTGATCAACCTCGTTTTCAAGAGCAGCGGCCCAGCTGTCTATTCACGAGTGAACTAAGAATAATGGCGTTCACTCGGTTATTCGAAGACGAAATAGCCTCAATATTCTGAATAAAACTAAACGGAAAGAAAGCAGAATACGCAGAACATATTGCTCGATAGATGTTATCTACTTTTTGAGGATCGATTGAGGACATTGAGGAGTATCTGTAAGAAAAAACCTGAGTGTGTTTACAATCCGGAGACTGTGCAAAAAATTAGCCTGCGTAGCTGGCGGTATTGTGTGGGTGCCGTCAAATCTCACTCGACTATATTACAACGGCTCCGCCGCCAAATCTCACTCGACTTCTACAAAATACCGCCAGCTACGCAGGCTAGCAAAAAATAGGCCAAAGTTTAAAAGAAAGTTTACGATGTGGTAAGCTTGTTCAGGACTTAAAAATATTTTGAATGAATGATAAAACAGTTATTGAACTCCTGTAGCAAAGACTCGGGACCATAATATTGTTTCATATTGTTCTCCTTCAGAAGCTATCAAGCGTCCCCCGTTGTTAACGGACAATTGATTCTGTTTTTATTTAGAAATCCATTGGTAAAATGAATAATCAATATTCCACCACTATTCAACATTCGTATGTTGAATGGATCGATAAAAAAAGCCTTACCTGTATTTTTATGGCTAAAATTTATCGGGGCTCAATTTTGACATTGCATTTCACGGGAATTAATATTGAATCAAAGAACGGAATCAATTTCCAATTAATGAATTCATAAGCTGTGAACGATGGAAATATGCTTGGCTGGCTTCGAATGTATGAGCTTGCAAACACAATCAAAGGGTTTGTAATTTATCATTTCTTCCAAGTGCATCTTTTTTGATTGAGGTCCAATAAGTGATGAAGGCTGGCGTTAAACAAAGGCAAATCCATTGATTCTGTTGTTCGCTCCGTAACTTACTGTCAAGTTCAAACAAGAGCAATAATGGCTCCCAGGGGGGGGTACACCTGGTAATTCTTTGTGGGAGCTGGTGCCGCCCAGTTCTCCAAATCCTGACCCTATTTCAGACCAACAAATGTCATTTTCCACATCCGTTTTCAGACCAGACCTCTAAAATCCATACCCGTTTTCAGACCAATTATGCTGGCCAAATACTAATTATTTGCTTGATTTAGTAAAGAGATCTGTTAAATTTCCTTCCAATTCTTTTGCTATAAGTGAGTTTATCTCGGTAATAACTAAGGCATCAAAATGCAGTCTACTCGTAATTTCTCAACTTGTTAACACTCGTCATATGCTTTGGTCGCTTGCTCCAATAAAGAACAAAATTTTTAGGCCTACAAAATCATTTACCAGCCTAAAGAAGGCACGAAAAAAGGGCCATCTTGATTTATGGCACCCGCTTAGGCCCAGTTCTCCCCCAAAACCTTGAAGGGGAAAAAAGTTTCCCCAAGAGGCGGAGCTACATGTATTACGTAAAACAAATGAAACCTGAGTCATCGAAAGACAGTCTACACAACCGGTACGCGCTAGGTTAAAGCATGGTTTGTGCGAAGGCCCGATAGAATTGAGGACAAAAAGAATGGAAATCGGAATACAAGAAGCTTAACCGTTTCAACAAAGGTAAGTGTCTGAGAAATATTGGCGTGAAATCTACCACGCAAAGAATCGAGTCAAGTGGAAGCGTTTATACAAAAGACTTCAACATCCAGAGTAGAAGCAAGTAATGGAATGGGAGATTTGTCGAGACCCTAGACAAAATGTTAGGCCGTTCCAATGCCGCAGAACAGCTTCTAGATAGGGATAGTAAACTTCAGTGTCGTGCTAGTAGCCTTCTCGGTCATAAGACTGATTGTTCCGCTTTTCCATGGTTCACTTGCTTGGTTTTGACTCGTAACACGTAAACGTTAATTTAGAGCTTTTTACTGAACTGTCCCAGGATTCAGGATTGCTGTTAGAAAGTTTCCGTTTATGTGTGTGTGTGTTTTTTTTTCAAAAAAAAAGCCATGGAATTGCATTTAGTATAGACTAATTCTTGGTGTTCATGTTTTTGGTGTTCATGTGTGACAACTGTACTATATGCAAATTTCGATTGTTGACCTGACACTTATAAAAATCATTGGGCCAATTTTGTAAACGTAGTTTAGCCAGTGTTTAACAAAACCGCGTTCTAAGTCATTTTCAATTTGCCCAACGATTTTATCTAAACATCATTTATGGTGAACAGTTTTATGACAGCATATAGAGAAGACTAGAAAAGTATTTTTCTTCTTAAAACAACTCATCTGAGAAGAGATCTAGAGGTTCAAAGATTCGTTAAACCGCGGCTTAAGTTAGACTCCACCGTTTTTTGGTTGCTAAGAACTTTTTTGCAGAGTGTAAAGGTTGCAATTACCAGGGTTTTTAACAAGGTAGTCAGCACCGCCGGCCAGGTCAAAACTCCTCTGTGAACACCAGGGAACTAATAATAGACCATTCACTTTTCGAAAAAAACAGTTATGATATGAGAACCACGGGGGGATGTAATTTCCAACTTGGTTAACGATAATAAATAAACATCACCAACTTTATCGGGCAATACGCAGTCGGTGTTTTCGTTTAATAAGGGGTTTAGTTGTGAGGGGCCTCATACTGACAATTTTGTGGCGGGGAACGGAGGCAAAGGAAAAATACAAGAAAAGGAGGTGAAGTGTTATTGACGAATAAATTTAATAG